AGGTTAAACAATGCAGAACAAATTGCAATGCAGAAGAAAATCCTGGTCAAACAAATTTATTCTATGACCCTTCAGGTAGTACGAATAAAAGGTGAAACCTTTCGTTTACAAGCTATAATTTAAATAATAATCGATTGAAAGTTTAAGGGGCGTGCAAAATATTCGAATTAACTACTTGTATCCGATGAGAATCAATACTTCAAGCTCGCTTTAAACACGTTGTGTATAATTAAACTGTCTCAGTCAAGCAAATCTTCTTAATTCCTAAACATGCAATAGCTCTTAAAAGTAATTTATAAAGCTTGCTAGTAAATCAGTTTAAATTAATTATTACCCATGAGGACTACTGGACTACTGGCGTACTGGACTAATGTACTAGACTAGTTAAATTATTAAAATATACATTTTTGATCAATTTTTCGTAAAAATTAATTCTTGCTTGAATTAAAAATCATATAAGTCGACGTGGCCTGCAAATTACGCACTCCAGTGCCTTTTCTTTCTCCCATTAAATCTGATAGAAAAATTGGGACTGGAAATCAATGGACCATGCTCGAATCTGAAAACGTAGGAAGTTTGAAAATAATTAATTAAAATCGTATAAATCTCGCGAAAAATTCTTTTATCAAATAATTTTGATTCAAGTTTTATAAGGAATAAATCGATCTTTTTAATTGTTCATATATTACAACGAGGAAATAGCTTTAAGATCGGTACCTCTCTTATTTTTCAGCTTTTCTTCCATGTTTGAAAACCAGTATTGTAAAACTAAATAATTTGTCGCAGTAAATATATTAACGAAAAATTTATCCGATATACAGGATTGTTCACGTAACTGGGGCAGGTCATATCTTTTTTTTGATTGCGATTAGAAAAAATTGTTAGTTACTGCTTTTTTGGGGACCACCATTTTTTGTAAATACCACGATGCATATGCAGTGTGTTGTAGCACAATATTTTTAAATAGAATCGAATATTCTTTCTTTCTAGATGGATCAAATTTCCTCATTATGTTATTCTGTGTATGAAGTTATTAAAATAATTTCATTCATTTATTGGAAAGTGAATGAGTCATGAAATGATTGTGCATTAATATAATTAAACTAGTTAAAATCTTGCAGATTGATTTCTGAAATTTTATCTTTTCAATTACCTAAATTACGCAGTTATTTCTTGCAAATTTAATATTCTCTTTTATCAAGGTAGAGATTTATGTGTATAATTACACATATTTATTTATTTCCATCATAATAAAATATAGACACTCTGATTACGTATAATTAGTAATTACTATTGTCAATAATTACTATTATTGAAAACATTTCATTTATTTATTATTAAATCCTCCCTATTTCTTTATCTGATTTCTTCCTAATGTCTTATCTAAAAATAAGATGTACTGGAACCTATTTTTGTGCTGGCATTCTCTAGAAATTCCACTGAAGATCTAAAAGAAAGAATCAGAGTACATTGCATTAGGGATCACTACTGAAAGTCATGAAGACAATGTGTAAAGGATTCAGAAAGCGATGAAGGATCGTTTGATGTTGCAAATTTCTATCAAAAAATGACAAAATGTTTCAATACCTACTATAAGTCTACATAGAAATGAAATATTTCATAATGCATTGAGTTTATATTCACAGAATATTTGATATTATTCATAGGATACCTAGAGAAATCAATTTATGCAAATATAGTTACAATGTCCCATTAAAAAAAAGAAGAAAATGCAATTGGATTTTGCAAGATTGTATATATTTGTGATGAGGTGGTAAAGGTTGTTCAATAATGCAAAATCCTTCCTCGCGATTTTTCTCTAATTCCACTTGAAACCGAGATGCAATCTGGCCCAGTTGCTAGAATCACCCTATATAATACATATGTACGGTTACATTTATGAAAAAAAAATATAATCTTAAAAAGGTAGAGGTCCTCTCTAAACCATTCACGTTTTTTGTCCGACATATTCTTTTAAGTGTTACCAAAAAGAAGACACGACCTGCCTCACTTGCGTCCTTATAATACATAAGGTATGCATGAATATGTGACTCTCAGGTTTTTACATGTATACAGTTGAGTATCGCCCACATTGTCCTAAAATTAGTTCACAAAATAAATGATAGGTATAAAGTAATAAAATAATCTAATTAATGTTAGTACCTTAATTCCACTGATTTAATTCAGGTAATTATATGGCATGGTGTATTACAGTGCAGTGTAATTTCTTTTTAATTTCCCATTGGGTCCTTGTTACCGCCACCATCCTGATATAAGAAATATGATTGTCCGTTTTAAATGAGTTCCTTAAACCTTAATTGAAATGTTAACTCTATTCGTTTACATAATCCAGTTGCCACCACCTACATCAGTAGCCGGATTTTCAGATGGAAAAAGGTAGCAAATGCTAGAAACATAGAGAGAAAGAGATTGAAAACTAAAAAATCTTCTAAAAACTTATTTTCAATTTAAAAGCAAAGAGGGTTTTAGAAAAATAAAACAAGTAATTAGTAACAATCCAAATCAAAAAGAAAATTATTTTATCGAGTCCTAAATATAACTATAAATATTCATAATTCTTTGACTTGTACTATACTCAATAATTAAAATTCTCAATTACTTAAAATCAAATTTAAAAATGCCAGAAAATTAAAAATCATAAAAAATTTCATAAATTAAATATATCAAGTTTCAAAAAATTAATCTTTTGTTTATTTAATTATTTAAGAAAAAATAATTAAACTAAAATTAAAAATTAAAGTAATTAAAAAAATAATAAAGTTGTTCGATGACATATATAATCTAAAAAGGAAAAATAACATAAATATCGAGAAAGATTTAAATTTTTAAAGAGACTTAAACGACTACTACGTAGTAAATTATTGATAAGATCAGTACAGAGTGCATAGTTTAATTAAAGACAGAAACAGGAACAATATTAAATTTCTTCTTCTGCACGTTAGGTATTATAAAAGTATGACGTCCTACTAACAACGGTACAAGTCGTACATCGTAATTTTGTAGCAATCACTTCCGTGATTCTAAATTCCGTCTCTCGTATTCTCATAACGTCAGCTCAGACTGCTTCGACCTACCTTCTACATCGTCTTCTTCGTACTCCTCGCGTAGTTCTATGGTAGTAGGTCGTGATCTTCTTAGATGCGTGGAATTGTCGCAACGAAACTCGTTATCTCGTGACTAGAGACAGAACAAGCCTTCTAACCGCTATGTCACGCTACAGAAAACGACAGGTGTTCATCAACTACGGCCCAAATCGTGGATAAATAAAACTCGAAATAGATACAATACCCAACCATATACACTCTCCATTTCATCATCAATTATTACTCATCGTTCATTCAAATTTGCTTTGTATTCTAAACTGCGGCTCTCATTTGAAAAACGCTTTATACAAACGTTTTGTCGGTGACCATTTTCCAGAGTAATAGTATATTTACAAAAGACTTATTCGCCGATACATATGTACGTCAATGGCGTAACATAATACTAGAACATGGGATGACAAATTTCCCAGAAAATCGACGATTTTTCAATTCAACCTCGTTCCTCTCTTGCGTTCCCAGCAAATGACACATAAAACAAGAAAAAGGTTAATAACCACTCTCCAATTTCGAAATTCATGAACAATATCCTCACTATTTGGCGTTCAATTCTCGCCACCTAGCCAGATCCAAACCGCAACCCCTTGGAATTACACGCGCATCATAGGCTCACGCCGTCACCGATTACGGAGCCCTGGACGTCGCTGGCGAGTCGTTATACCTGGTACCAGGGTAATCGAGAAGCAGGTAAGAGGGATGCGGCGAATCGAGGCATCTGAAATGAAGGAAAGAAATAGAAACTCGAACGGCATGTGTTGGCGAGGATGACGAAGACCGAGAAAGGTTTCTACCCCTGGAACTTGAACTCGGTAAGGAGAAAGCTGAAAACCCGGCGGGGGTGAAAAGCAGAAATATCCGCGGATAAAGACGGAAACGGGGAAACGAAGAAACGGGGGGAAAGAGAAGGCGGTGTAGCGGAGAATAGGAAAGCCCGGAAAAAGCGACAAGGAGGGACGGACTGATAGAGAAAAGGAAGCACGCAAATGGCGTTGAGGGGTAAGAGAGCGGTAACGGGAGTCGAGAGGAGGAGGAGTAAGAGGAGGAGGAGGAGGAGAGATTTGTGAAGGTACGAGAAAGCAGCAGAGGTAGCAGCAGTGGCAGCAGCAGTGCCCGGGCATCAGGGCACAGTTTGGTCGGCGCAGGCGCTAGCCGGTAGACGGTTCCTGGTGCGGGCTGCAGGCGGCAGAGAGTAGGGGTGCGAGGGGGTGGATGTCAGAGGGTGCCCGTAGGAAGTTTATCGGCGGCGAGTGGCGGTGGGTGGAAGTGGTGCCTTCGGAGGAGGGGTTGTAGGTGGACGGTGGAGGTGGAGGTGGAGGTGGAGGCAGGAGCATACTCCGTACACCGAGGATTTCCAGGTAGCAGACAGTCTACGGCCCGGGACAGAGGGACCAGGACCAGCTTCGGGAAGGAGAGCTTGTCGTGGACCCTCTTCCTTATCGATATACGTGGATGATACGTACCGTTCAGTGTGAGTGTTAACTTCGAATGTTTACAAGCCTTGCGATCAACGTCTATGGAGGGACCTCGATATAATTTGGTTCATGACAATTCCACGAATCTCGATTGACATCGAGTCATTATCCCCGGTGCTCACGTTCCTAAACGATTAATATCCGGTGTGATTATTAAGATTACGGTCCGCGTAACCACAAAGAGACCACCGGTCGGTGGTGAGGGAGAAACAAGCTGATAAGAACGAAGACGCGGAGATGAGCGGTGTCGTTCGGCCGGGAACTGCTCGGAGCACGTGCCTCGCACGCAGAAGGCGCTCCGAGCGGCACCAGGTGCGCTAATCGAGGACCGATTTGCGAAACAAAGTGACACGAATAATAGAACGTTGCTCCACGATACGTCTCTTTACGTCCTTCTATTGCTCGTGCCGTTAACGCTTCGAGGACGATCTCGATGATCGCTTCGTTAACATCTCTTTTGACGCTTATCGGTATAGACGGCATGGGACACGTCAGCGGACACAATGTTGATCGTCCTATCCATCAAGGTAAAGTCCTCAATAATTTCATTTCTTCTTTACATTTACTTCCTCCGACAGCGTGTAAATATCTGAAATTATGCGGAAAGAGATTACATAATTTTCTGCACGCTTCCTAACGTTTACGCATTTCCCTCCTCTGTCGTTCCTCGTTCGAGTAAGAAAGGCAGATCAGTGAAAATTGGCTATTGTTGTCCCGTTCGCTCGGTGCGAATCGATCGATATAGATCACTAATTATATCCTTGATATGCCAGTAACGAACGTTATGAAAATCTTGATTCATCATCCACGAGCTATCTCGTTGAAATATTCATGCCGGTTTCAATGTTATCTGGAACTTGGTAACACGATATTTTAATAATGTAACGACGTGCTTTGGAATGAATATATAAATCAATAAGTAGGTTTGATGTAATAGCTAAGAATAAATGAAAGATAGCGGACTGAAAAACGATCGGGCTAAACGGATATCTTGACGGTTGGAAACAGGTATTTATTGCATAAGAGTGGTATAAAAATTTTCACGATACAAATGAACACGCTTATTGTGCACGCAAATGCCAGCGAAATTTAGCCGTGAACGAATAAGCAAAACACGCAACGCGATTCCCAAAGTAGGCAATCGTGAACTTTTTATAAATAAGGAGTCAGGCTTGTATGAATAGACTAGTTTCGTTTGCAACAGGAAGTCGCATACCATACGATTTGTGAATAACGAGAACGCGCATGGAATGCATACAGTAACGTGTATTGACAGGTGAAAAGCGCGAAAATGAATTTTTGACAGGCCATCGGTAAATGTCTATCGCTACTCAACTAGTCCGACAGTTTTTCGATAGCATCGTAAGAGAAACCGCGCTAAAAATCCCTATTTGTACTTACATTCTTTACGACAAGTACCTCTGATCGACAGAATATCGGCAATTATTGTTTTACAACGTTCGTTCTACTCGAATGTTCGTCTGGCAATCCATCTCTTTTGTATTCTGGACGTATATTACACTCCTGCAATGTAACATGAATGTCAGAAATAATAATAAAAAAAATAACAGAAGAAATTTGTTATTATTTTATGGGTAATAAAAATTCCAAATTTTACTCATAGTAGGGAAAATATCACGGATAAATTAGAACGTGTCTGAAGATACCCGTGGATGATGTATAAGGAGTTTTATAATGAGAGGAAAGTAGGAGGGAAATACGAAAAATTTCGTCAGATAGAAAAACACGAGGAACGCTGTTAATTAAGAGCAAATAGCAGTAAGAAGACAGAAAGGGCAGAAAATTACGAACGGGAAGTGTCGTAATCCACAGTACGTAAAGCGTACAGCTTAACGAACGATCCAAACTTTCGCTTCTAACACGTAAGGTCAACTTACGCCAAAAAAGATCCAAAATGTACTGCCTCGAGGCGATCGTTCAACCCTTCACCGTTTGGAGCCCACGGGCAAAAAGTCATTTCACAGCCGCTACACTTTTTACCGCAGAAACAAGACGTGCCATGTGCCACTTCCTTCATTCTTTGTTTCCCTCTCTTTCTTGCTCATCTATTTCGCTTTAAACGTGTCTGTTGCACAACATCCTTCGCATTCTGCCAACGATGCGCTTTCATATTTCTATAAATAACGAGAAAAGCCAGCAGTAGTGAATTTTCCACGAGAGTGTTAATTAATTACCTGTATCTTGTTAATTAATTAATTGCCACTATTAAAGACAGTTATTGGAATTTCATAGACCTGAAACTATAAATTCAGCATTAATATAATTCAAATAACAAATTTAATATTCACGTTGAACGATCGTATTTTAGATGAACGATATTGCAATACGTACATTTCTTTTTGCATTTAGCGTGCATGCGTGCGTGGAAGTGGATAATGGAAGGAAGCTTGCTTGCCAACCTGTCAAGCAAACTTTTGTAGAAAATTAGGCTTTATTGTTCCGAAGATAACTCGAAGTCCTATTGCAAAGTTCTTAGTGGCAGTTGAAATTCCTGCTAGAAAGATATTATTGATCATATTTTCCATTTATCCGCATTCTGAACTCGATGGTCTCGCGAGACTAGTATTTGTTTACTTCACATATTCTTTATACGTCTTTTATATTCGTCTTGCTCGACATATAGGTTAGAACGGGTAACACGATAATGTTGACACTGGCTTCAAACAGATTCAAAAGAAATAGAAAAATTATGCACTCAAGGAACTTGCATCGTTCTAAAAGGTTAAAAATATTATCACTTCTTAAAGCTTTTTACACTTTGTTACGATATAACTTACCTGATAAAGAACAAAGTAGTATAAGATGACAGAAAATCTAGTTTCGTGAATCAATAATTTATTCGATCGAGCTACAATGCGTTTGAAGCGTCGCGCAGACAATTCGATAATTGCGCTTTGTGCTCCATCTGTGGTTAATCTGGAATATTTTTAATTACATTTACTTCCTTTCATATACATCTATTATTAAAAATATGTAGTAAACACAGGGAGTGATAAAATTAAGCTTACTGTGCCATACTTCGTTAATTTAACCACACAGTATGTGAAAGAATTATAAATTATCATTTATTATAAGTATCAAATTTTCACAGTTTATCCAATATCGGTCGGTAATATGCTTCTGCATTCGAGTACCCTCGTTTCAAAACCAGGTATATGATTTCAATTTATTAATATAAAATAAATACTTTATAAAAAGGTATTTATTATTGCATTATATTACTATTATTGTATTGAAGATGTACTGAAATAAATTAAATAAAAAAGATAATTATATGCAGTGGTGTGTATGCAATGTACATATATGCATGTGATTCCGACAGTTATTGATAATATAATAATTAAACAATACAAATAGTCCGTGTATTTCTGGAGTTTGTTTATTGTCATTTTATTATCTCAGTTAACATTTATAGAACACGTATATCAACGGGAAATAATAATTTTGTTTATATAAAATGCTTTATAAAACATTGTTAATAAACAAGTTTACAAAATTGAAGGTAAACGTGAAATACACCTGATACACAGTGATTGCACACGCACAGATAGGCCTCTTTTCATTCGCCTCTTGCACAGTCAGGTATGCACGTGGTATGCATTTTTTCTCTAGTCGTCCCAGCATAGGGTAACTTTTCCTCGTGCTTTTGTATACGTATGTAGCTTGCATATAGGGACAAGTTGTATCGTAAGACGGCGGTTTACCTTGCTACATTACAGAAGCTACTTGGAGTGGTGGCAAGGTTGTATAGGATTGAAGGGAGGGAGTTTAGAGAATAGAAAAGGCGAGAACATGAAACGCAACTACAGGAAATCACATGCAGCGCGACCTAGTTCGTGAAACAGTCGGAATTTGGGATTCGTTATTAAGAAAACTTCGGTGCCGGCCGATGGTATGAATTTTCCAGATCTTACGAGAAAACTCTTGAGTTGTCAAATTTACCTGTGTCGCAAGATTAGATACTTCGTTCGAGGTTGTGTCTTGCTATATGAAAAATCGTGTGTTTTTCGTTTCATTAATGAAGAACGAAAAGTTTTTCCGTTGAAAAATTTAATTTGCCAAAGCCTTGAACACCTCTGATGTGTATGTCATAGATTTAATTTATTATAACCTAAAATACGTTTTCTCGTTTTACAACGATAAATATTTCTGTTTGAAGATTTCATTTTGTGAGTATGGTTTGACATGTTTTTAATATCTTTGTAAGTATGTATTTGAACTTTTCTATATTTTTTTTTATTTTATTGTTTACTATTTTATTGAGTCATGACATTTTCTTTTATAGTACTGAAACGGTTAGCGAATTAAGCTTGACTACTTAATGAGAAGCTTGATGAAGAAATTTAATATCGCTCGGTATTACGGTTCGCCTACATACAAGGAACCTTGTTCAGAGAATTGCATGTTAAAGATAACGCGCATTCTGTACACTTCGATAGAAACCGGGTTCGCTTTATTAATTCCGTCGAGGTAATTTCATTGAACTTTGTGACGAACATACTTTTAAATCCTACTGTCAACACAATAAAAAACGAATTACCTCAACATTTTCTGCATTATTGCGATACAAAATTACTAAGGTAGTAAGTATTGAAACTTTCACGATCTATTTAAATCGGAAGTATCATATTAATATCGATATTAAATTATTTTACCAATTTAAATATTTTTCACTTATTTTCATACATATATATAAAATTTATTTTACAAACATCTTTTTCATTAGGTTACATTTATAAATATTTTATTTTCATTAGTATCATTTCGAAATTTCTTTTACTATTTATTTTTATCTTTTGTTGTATTTATTTTAATTTCTAATTAAGTGATATTATGTTTCGAGAAAACGATGTAAATTAGTTACTTATACTTGGAAGTTATGTTGCACTTTTGAAGGTGGAGGTGGAGGAGGAAAATTTCAAGCAAGCCTCGGGGGTAGGAACTTTGCACCTTTACCAGTGAAACTCTATCCGTTCCCAAATTTACTTCTGGCATTCGAAGCAATTCGCATAATCTTGCGCTACCTGACCTATTCATCTTTCAAGGCTAAATCTGGGCACAATACGAAAATGAAATTACATGTAATTTCTAACGTCTATGACTACTATTATTATAATATGGAATTACTTGACATATTAATATTATAACCTAAAAATGAGATAAAACTGTTTCTTAAATAATAGGACGCGTTTAACAATTTCATTTGTCATCTTGCAGAAATGGAAATAAAAGAGAAGGCAAAAAGGAAAGCATTTATACACTGCTACAATTTTTTTGTTTCATGGGGATTATGATCTACGAAATTATATTTTCTCGTACGCCTTCCCTCCTTTTTGTTTCGTGTAAGTCCTTTGTCCAGATTCTGCATTTTGTCTTTTTATAATATCTACAAACAAGATTTTGCTGTGTAAAAGGGACCACTTTGGTGCAACAAATTTATTATAATCATCAAAGGTATTATTATACATTTATTATACATGCTATGTGTATGCATATAAGTATTATA